CAAGAAACCTGCCACGGCCATACGGTTTATAAGTGATATAAGCGTCTGAGTGATTATTTTATAAGTGGATTGTGGGACTGCGGGGCTTGGGGAACCTGGAGAGAAGCTCTCCAGCAACAGTATGGCCCTCTGATTTCATCACCCATGGTTCCTATGGCCCTCTAAGGTGACACAGGCCACAGACATCAACACAGACCTCAGCTACAGCAGGACCACAGACCCAGACATGGCCTTCAGCAGCAGCTCTGGCCCAGATGTCACCATGGGAACAGGGAATCTTACTGAAAAAAATGCCTCTTTAAGATTTGCCTGTACTGGGGCTGGAGAGATGGCTCAGTGGTTAAGAGCACTGGCTGCTCTTCCAGAGGACCCAGGTTCAATTTCCAGGACCCACATGGCAGTTCATACCTGTCTGTAACTCCAGTTTCAAGGTTTCTGACACCCTCACACAGACATACATGCAGGAAAAACACCAATGAACACTAAACAAACTAAAAGATTGCCTTTAATCCCAGCACTCAGGAGGCAGAGGCAGGTGGATCTCTGTGAATTCGAGGCCAGCCTGGTCTACAGAGCGAGTTCCAGGACAGCATGATGTACACATAGAAACCCCATCTCAAAACAAAACAAAAGAAAACCTCCACAAACAAAAGAATCAGACAGGATCACTTTTTGACTTCCTTGAGCCTTCTGTTTTATTCACCTTTCCTCTTTTTTTTTTAAAAAAAGATGTATCTATTTATTTTATGTATATGAGTGTTTTATTGACTTGATTCCAGAAGAGGGTATCAGATCCCACTTTAGATGGTTTCGAGCCACCATGTGGTTGCTGGGAACTGAACTCAGGCTCTCTAGAAGTGCAGCCAGTGCTCTTAACCCCCAAGTCATCTCTCCAGCCCCCTAAGCCTGTAACATGCTTTTGTGTGTGTGTGTGTGTGTGTGTGTGTGTGTGTGTGTGTGTGTGTGTAGGGGTTGAGACAGGGTTTATCTGTATAGTTGTGGTGCCTTTCCTGGATCTTGCTCTGTAGACCAGGCTGGCCTCGAACTCACAGAGATCTGCCTGGCTCTGCCTCCTGAGTGCTGGGATTAAAGGTGTGTGTCACCACCAGTAACATACTTTTAATCCCAGCACTTGGGAGGCAGATTTTGGTGAGTTGGAGGCCAGCCTGATCTACACAATGAAATCCTGTCTAAAAAAAAAAAATTTGAAACATTTACTGTGTGTGCCCTAGCATGCATGTGGGAGGTGGGGGTGGGGGTCCTGAGGACAACTGGTGCAGGCTGGTTCTCTGATTCCATTGTGAGGGTATAAAGAGTTAACTCCTGTGCCCAGGCTACAAGCACTGTTATCTGCTGAGCCATCTTATGGACCCAGTATTAGTTCTGAAAAGACTAGCTAGAACCAGCTGTTGCTGAGTCTGGTGTTGTAAGCCATTATGTGTAT